TTTGGCTAATAATAGCCGATGATCCGAAAAATTACCATTCTATCTAAAGAAAAAGTCTTATTATTTTCTTTGAGACATGATAGTTTTGATGCGAGCTGAATATTTTTGAAGAACCTACATCAGAAGCAAATATTTTGACCTTTTTAAATCTACAGGTATCTGTGCCACTGAGAAAATATTAAGGCCTCTGTCGAAAACACTGATTATATTTTATGGACCGTCTATCAACATTCACTATGGCACAAGCTTGTTTCACTGGATTTATCAGCATGAAGTGGCTCCCCGGTAGGAAGTCTTACCGCTTTTCATCTTCATATAGTCAGCCTGGGGTTAATTGCGCAATAGCTGCATGCGTCTTTTCTGCTTTCCTGTTGTCTACCAGCCAAAACAGGTGCTTGGCTGGTTCGATGATAGGATGCATTCATTGAAGGTACAAGTTCGACCATCACTCTTATCTGCGACTGCACCTGGTGATGGGTTCGAGTGAGAATCCAAAACCTCAGGTCAATAACCTGTTTAATCGATCATATCCCCTCAGCTGATTTCGTTTTGCTTGGATCTGCAATGCAAAAGCATTTATTAAGCCTTTTCTAGTCAACTTTACTATGTACTCCTGCCACGATATGCTAACCCGTGTTGTGCATGCAGAAAAGTGTTTTCTATTCACCTTTCTATCAACAACATTTCATAGCAATCAGATTAGTTCAGTACTAACTCTGGTATCGCCAATTTAATTAAATAGTTCGTCCTTTCGTTGCTCTGTGCCACTGCTATCGGTCCATACCACATGCCCTCTCCCACCCCTCTCGAATCGCGCGTCTAGCCGCGTTGTTGCGCCAGTCCTATTTTGATTGCTGCTACCGCTGCCTAGTAACGCGCACGTTCCTTTGAACAGTAGTGGCGGTCTCGCGGAGTGGTATCCGCGTAGGTAGTACCTGCTGCCAAATTTCTCTCACAAGTGGGCGTGCTCCTGTTCGCCTTCCTCCTTCACTACGACCAAACATCCTGACTGTCGGCGGTTCACAGTCCCTAGTTTGTTGTCCACTGGCATACTCACCTTGCAGTTGTTTTGCCCCTCCCCTGTTTCGAAAAGTTAGCATGTTGTGTGTTGTTAACTGCACATTATCTACATCCATGTCTGTTTGGTGTGCTATTTCAGACGTGATCACGACCTTGGGCTAAACCGGTAGTAAAAAAACACCATTTATGGTTTCAATTTAGACGAAATACTAATATCAGCTACTAATTTAACTCCTGCGTGTCAGGCTTAATATGTCGAATTAGCCCAGCTTCGTTTTAACACCAAGCTGTTTTCGGAAGGCGCTTCACGTTACTAGTCTGGGAGAGTGAGAATCCTAAAATATCTCGAGGTCTTGTTACTTTTTTAATGAACGGAGTAGAGGAGCCATTGTCACACGAACGGATTTGTTTGCAAACGTTTGCCTACCAGATCTCCGTGCGCACTGGATCTGTCCGTCTCGATCCACGCAATATTTTATCAACTGCGGCGCAGCACAACTGCTACTTGCGGGTTATGGTTTAGGCTTGAAACGCTTGCCCCAGTCGGCAGTTTTGTGACTATCCGAAGCTGTTCGTACAAGCCAACATTTACCAATTCTCGTTGTTCGTCGGCGTTTATCCAAAAGAGTAAGGGAAAAAGGTTGAAAAGACTGGAAAAAGGTTAAGTCAGGAGCAAAGCGACCGGTGTTCTCGCGCACGTTATTGATTCTGGACATCGTGTGAACCCCAAAGAAGTCTTCCGGGTGATTTATAAGGTTCCAGCAGACTACCCCAAGTCCCTGGGTCATTGAATGCTAGTAACAGCAGAAGCAACCGCTATCGGGTCGCTAGAACCGGTCCACACCTGACGCGACCAACAGTCACTTACCTACACTCTTCCACGCTCCTCCCTTCCCCTGGACTGGCTCCACCAAAT